CAATTAGAGATCATAGGATAGGAGATGGAATGAGCTTCAGCCATACGTGTTTTATGAAGCAAGTCGCGAATGTATTTGCTTTGAGTCATGACTATAGATGAATCAGGTAAGTACTTTATTTCAAGACCAAGAAAATAATCTAGATGACCAAGTTGTTTGAGAGAGAATGCTGCATTGAGTTTGGTTGTGAGTTGTTGAATCAAAGTATTGGAGCTTTTGATGATGGTGATATCATCAACATATACTAGTAAATAGGCAACATGACACTGCTTTTTGTAGATAAACAAAGATGAGTCACATTTACTACACAAAAAACCAAACTGGATGAGTGTGGATTTTAACCTATCAAATCATTGTCTTGGGGCTTGTTTTAATCCATAAAGTGCCTTGTTCAATTTACAAAAAAGGGATTTGTCTCCAACTTCAAAACTAGGAGGCTATGTCATATACATAGTTTCTTCAAGTAAGCCATTCAAGAAAGAATTATTAACATCCAATTGAAATAGTTCCCAACCATGTAAGGGAGCAAGAGTAAGTACAATCCTTTTTGTGATTGGTTTCACCACTGGAGGGTCTCATGAAAATCAAAACCATGTATTTGATGAAAACCCTTGGCTACCAACGGAGCTTTGTATTTATTAATGGAGCCATCAACATTTTCCTTGACTCAAAAAACCTATTTGCACCCAACAACATGTCTATTAGATGGTAAAGAGACTAAATTCCATGTCTTGTTCTTCAAAAATGCATATTCTTGTTGCATTGTAGCTAGCCAAATAGTATCCCCAAGAGCTTGCTTAATTGTTTTAGGTTCATAATGAGTAAGAAGTAGGGAGGGACAAATTCTAGGCTTATGAATATCAAATTTAGAGCGAGTTTGCATAAGATGAGTGTTTGTAGTAGGGGTTGAAATAGAAACAGAAACAAACTCAAAAGAAGACTGTAGATAAGTAGAGGGAGATTGAATAGGGTGAATAGAAGTAATATTTGGTGTGTTGCAAACCTTAGGTGTGATAGAAGATGTAGTATGAGTAATTAAAGGACCACTAGTTGTAAAATGAGGCGGTGAAGAGGGCTTGAGGAGTGGGAAGGGGATTAAGATTGGAGTTTAAATTGAAATAAGAATATAGATCTTTTACAGTGTTAGGAGCACTAGGAAATAGATTAGCATAAGGAAATCGATGTTCATTAAACAAAACATCTTTTGAGATCTATACTCTTCCAATAGATGAAAGACATTTATAGCCCTTGTGTGAGAGAGAGTACCCTAAAAACAAACACTCTTCAGATATGAAATTAAGTTTGTGTGAGTGGTAAGGTCTTAATAGAGGAAAACAAGCACAACCAAAAGATTTGAGGAAGTGAAAATCAGGATTCTTATGAAAAAGAGTAGTATAAGGAATAACAAACTTGAGAGATGCAGTAGGCAACCTATTAATGAGATATACAATAGCGGTAAAAGCATAATCCCAAAACTGTAAAGGAAGAGAAGCATGGTGAAGTAAGGTGAGGCCTAAGTCAACTATATGCCTATGTTTTCTCTCAACCAAACAATTTTGGTGATGTGTATGTGGACAAATGAGTCTATGAGAAATACCATGACTAGCTAAAAAGGTAGTGAAGGGTCGATATTCTCCACCCTAATCAGGTTGAACCTGTTTTATTTTAGTATTAAGCTGCAATTCAACCATGGATTTAAAGGTTTGAAAGTTAGACAATGTTTCAACTTTAGACTTTATAGGAAAAATCCAAGTGAACCTTGAATAGGCATCAATAAAAGACACATAATATTTATATCTAGCATAAGAGGTAATGTGAGAAGGTCCCCATATATTAGTAAAGATTAGTTCTAAAGGAGAATAGACAGAATTAGAAGTATAAGAGGGTAGTTTATGTGATTTGCCCATACAACAAGAAGAACAAAAGTGAGAGTCAATTTTATTGGATGGAGAAATTTTACAATGATTCATGACAAGTTTCATTACATGACTATTTGGGTGACCAGAATTTACATCAGAATTTGCGTTTACATCAACTCTAACAACACTAAACAAAGAGATAATTGTGGCTAAACCACTAGAAGAGGACAATGATGTAGATGAATGATATTGAAGTTGGAGATTATTGAAGGAATAAAGACCATCAGCTCTAACAACTCCTTGAAGAAGAACTCTATTCGTCCCCTGAGATTTGACAAGACACATGTGGGGATGAAATTCAATGAAGACTAAGTTATTTTTGGCAAATTGGTTAGCACTTAACAAATTTTTAGTAATGGAGGGAACATGTAACAAGTTGTTAAGTTTAAAAGTAATGTGTGAATCATTAGGTGACACAAACGAAGAGAAACCAACACCAAAAATACTTAAAACTTCACCATTCCCTATGAAGATTTGATTTGGACCATCAAAATGGCTAAGTTGCTTGATGTTTTGTGGCTCACCAGTCACATGAAAGCTAGCCCCTGAATTTGGAATCCAAGAGGTGTTGCCATTTCCTTGAGAGTTGGAATTTGTCAACAATGCACTTTGTTGAGTAGTGTTCCCTGAATTAGTGTTTGGATTAACCCAAGTGTTTGAGGATTTGAAGGATCCAACAAAGTAAGGAATGAATTGTTGTGTGGCTAGATCAACAAATGAGATAAACTCTGGAGGTTAATAGGACGTGTCAGACTTAAAATGGAAGACATTCATTGTGTGACCATACTTTAGACAAATTTGACATTTAAAATTAGCAAACTTGCCACCACCACGATCATGACTGAAGTTACCACCACGACGACCAGCACCACCACTAGAACCACCACCACGATTACCACTTCCATGAGCATATGAACTAGAGTAGCCTTAAGTATAGTTCATTGATGGACATACCAAACCTTGTGTCTCTTTAATATAGTGAACGAGACGAGTTTCTTGACTGAAGAGAAGAGCTTCAATTTTAGCAATGGAAGGCATGCGCTTCTTGCTTTCAATGACTGAGACAAATGGTGCATAATCAGATGGAAGTCTTTCCAAAATTGCGTCGACGTATTCTTCATGACGCACCGGAACTTATGGAAACTTGCTTTGGAACCAGATTGATATTGATTCCTCTTCAAGCTTTTCCCTAGACCTTTGGCTCCTTGGTTCTCCTTAAACTTTTCCAAAGCCTCCAATGATGGATGAGCTTCAGATTTCACCAAAGATCGGTGAGAAACACTCTTCAAGAGGCGCCACTCCTTGGAAGAGATAAGCCACTTCAATCCTCACCACACTCTTGCTTGAAAAGGATAAGAGAATTGGATGAATATCAAAGAGTTTGAGACTTTTGGAAGAGAGAAAATTTTGAACAAATTTTGGAAATCTCTCAATATATGCTTCAAAAGTGTTTACAAAGTGAAGGAAAAGACTTATATAGTGAGGGAATGGCTTGTGGTGCAAGCTAGGCTAACTATTGTTCAAGGAGAACCATGGTTAGCCTTCTTACAGTCAAGCTAATCGATCTAGTAACTTGAAATCTTGTGAAACAAGCTTCTAACTTAGAAGCTTGGGGAGTAAGCTAAGCTAGAAGCTTGTAGCACAAATTATCCAAGTGTGTGGGAGAAGCTAGAAGAGCTAGGCAGCTAATCTTGTTTTCCTTCACTTAATTCAATCCAAAAATGTTAGAATTGGTTTAGTTGGGTTCACCTAATGAGGGTGACCTAGCTAAATCAATTCCTTGTATTAAATGGAGCAAACTAAGCCCAATATGTAAAAATTAGCCTAGGCCCACTACAGACCCAATTGCTAGCTTCACCTACACATTTTACTATTTGTCACCCCACTTCTACTACTAAAAATATGAAAATCAATGAACCTTAATACAAAGTCAAATGGATCAAAAGTCTTCAAACATTATACCCTAAAATCCTAAAAGGATGACCTATAAGAAAAGGAAAAGGTACCTTACAAATATAAAGGAAAAATACACATATACAAGTATCTACTATATACAAGGTACAATAACTCAAACTATACAAGATATGTACAAAGAGACTATGAGACTAAAAAGAAGAATCATACTCAATGCTCATATTGAGCAAAGCTTTAAGAAGCACCTCCTCTATAGAAGTCTCCTTTCCTAACCATGAATCTAGTTAAAGGCCTAATGGTCTTCAAGTGTGAGCTCTCCTATGAATTAACCTTCACCCTTCTTGATCTTACCTCTTCCAAAGGCATCCTTGGATATTGATTTCCATCATGAACTCCAACTCCTGCAAGTTCATCAATAAAGCTTTTGATCTTATGAAGATACTCTTCCATCGATTTGTTTTCGAGACGAACAATAGGCATGGCAGAGAGCAACTGTCACGCACAAGATTTTGTTTGAAGACCAAAATACTCGTGAGTCTTCTCCCAAACTTGATAGGAGTGAGTCTATCCAAGAACACGAGAAAAAACTGACTAAGAAAGAGTAGATTGAAGCTAAACAAGTAACGTTTGATCTTGAACTTCGCATGCAGAACCACCAGATTTACCACAAATTGTTGTAACTTGTGCGATTTGATCACTGGTTCAACTGGTTCACCATATTGCTTCCAGTGGAGATAGTTCGAATCATCAAGCTTCTCAGCAATGGAGTTCAGAAACGATTGAGAGATAGAGAACTGAGATGCGGAAGCCATAGACGCACTTTGAGAGGAAGAAAACCCTAGAATACGCGAAGAGGAAGAGGTTTTAAAAAATTGACTCTAGGTACCATTTGAAAGAAACTGAACAAGAGAGATATTTTTTATTAACTACTAAAAAGACAAGACTACATGAGATATTTATAACTATCTACAAAACTGCACAAAAAGAGTTTTTTAATAAACTCTAACAAACTTAAAACAGAATTCACTATTTTACATATATGTACACTAACAGAGACATACACTTTGGTTATTTCATTGACTTGTTTTTACTTGTCAAACTCCGATATGACTAACAATGTTGTTTTATTAAAATCTAGATTAAAATTACAACATTGAATACTATATATAACTCCGATATTTGAAGTTGTTCTTCATTACCTCTAATCTTATGATTCAATGTAAATTATAATTCACTGTTCACAAATTAACCAGCTATTTTTATTTTTATTTAGAATCTGCATTTGATAACCTAGTCTAGTATTATGCTTCAAATTGACAATCTGATATGAGAAATAATATAAGAAGGTTAATGTTGGGATCCAATCCAAAGTATGAGGCTTGAGTTTCACATTTTGAAATTGAAAGTATGTGGGATTTTAGCGTGGGGTTTGAGGCTTTGGTTTGGACTGTTCAATTACAACAACTAGTTTTTATAGCATGGTTCTCTCAAAGTTCTTGAGAGTTGAATACCACATTGGAAGTATAAGATTATAGTATGAAATATATAAGGCCTTGGCCTCTCCAGTTACTGTAGCTAGTTTTTGTGGTATAGTTCTCCCAAGTCCCAAGGTTCTTATCAGTTAACAATTGGTTTAACCTGATGTCAAATAGGAGATCCCATTGAAGATCAATTTGTAACTTCGAATTCTCTTATTTTTTAAGGTTTCTTCTACAGTCATATATTTCCGTGTATGATCAAATATCAGCCTGTTTCCCATGTCCATGTCCATGTCCAGAAGGTACCTATTTTTATGTCGTAATTGCAATAAAGAAGAGTGAGAATCCCTGATTATATTTTTGCATCCAACTAATTAAATTAATCATTTAAATAAAGAAAAACATATTGACATTCTGATGGCAAATCCATATTACAAAATTTAAAGAACAAAGCAACAGCACACTTAGCTAAGTTACCAGCAAAACTTCAATCATATGCAATGCAACATTGCGTGCTACTTGCACCCATTACTCAGTAATTTTGCATTCATCTTGTCCTCACTGAAATTGGCCTCTTCTGCAAATCCAACTGAGGCACGCTCTGCATCTCGGATCCTGCCACTGTATTTAATACTAGTTTCCTAGAACCTGAACCAACCTCAATTCCAGCACCATACTCTGAAGAAGTCTTAGAAGATTGATTTCTTTTATGTTCATTATCAGTCTCTTCATCAGTTTCATCAAAAACTATTTCCTTTTCCAAAGGATCAGCATCAATTTCAGCCCCCTTCAAAATCTCATCGGTTGAATTGCAACTTATAATGTCTTTTGGCCTTTTTATGTCATCTATATCCTTGTCAAATTCTTCTTCTGTTTCACTGAGGATTTCATTTTCTTCCGGTGGAGGCCTCACATTATCATGTCCATCATCCTCTACTTTTCTTGGTTGGGGGCTTGGACTATCATGATCATCAGGATCATGTGATTCAGATCGGGAGAGTTCCAGTGCTGCTCTTGCAGCAGCTGCAGCATATGCTGCTGACTCAAAAGCTGCTTGTGCTGCATCAGCCACGTCCTTGTACTTTTGCCTGCCCTTAAAGGAATCAGTTAACTCCTCATCTTTCCCTCTACTAGGCAAAATGCTTGCATTCTCTTCCTTTTTCTCAGGTTCATGCAGGTTTTGCTTTTCCAAATTGAAGTGTTCCTAAACAGTTCACATCAGATGCCATAATTAGTTGTTTTTCAAATGTAAACATAAACAAGGAATTGCAATTTTTTTCTGCCTTGGATTATTCTATACCTCAACCGACACAGAAGTTTCTTCAAGCTGCAGAACAATACCATTCTCAGAAGCAATGTCTTTGAGTGCCTTCATTCTGATCTCCAAGCTTGGCATCCTTGTTGACATCTTTTGTATAATCTATTAACAACCATATAAAATAGGTAACATTACAGTTTCCACATAAAAATTAATCAAAATTAGTATGCTCTCTGCACACATTCTAGCTTGTACATAAATCCTGGCTCCTAACAAGTCCAACTGGAAAAATAAAATTGTGGGTAGGTATTTGGAAAAATTCAAGTCCCAAAGCCTATCCTAGATCATTTTAAAGGGTTATCAACCATTTTGTGTACACACCAAATTTAATAGTGTTGAGTTTGAGTAAATGTATTGAAAAAAATCCAAATCTCACATTCAAAGATAACACAAACAGGAAATATATAAATGAGGGATAACCCTCCCCTTTAAACCAATTTGTAAGATTGAGTTAAGGTAAAATCCACATTTTAAGAGAAGGAAGGTGGACATGTATACCTGAGGATGAACTCCACAGTTATTCCTCAACTCGATAGCACGAGCAGCAAATTCCTTGCCAAACCGCGTGGTCAGAACACCGCGAATCTCTTGAATTTCTGGGAAATCTCCACACCTAGAAGCTGCATAGAGTAATCCAGATGCTGCCTCCTTCAGTTCCTCGGGACATTCTCTATAACAACAAGACCAGATCCATCATTTCAAAAAGGAAAACAAAACCAAAATTTTTCACTCAACACAATCACAAGTAAACCAACCTTTCTTGTTCAATGAGGTGGACCCTTTCAATCAAGAGGTTGCAGTATCCCTCAATCATGTCATACACATCCAACATGTTCTGATCCTTTATCACATGCTCAGCCTATCAAAACAACCCAGTTTTTCAAACCCAAAAGAAGTTAGTTATATATGTGATAAAAAAACCAATTGAGAAAAAAATTCGCAGAATATTATCTGATCACAAATCGTCATGTATACCTTAAAAGTGATGCTTACCATGATTTGGATTGGTTAACATTATAATTTTTTTTAACGATACATCAAAATTGAACAACACAAAGATAAAACTTAGACTGAGTATCATAGATGTTGTTCTCATAACTGGAATTTACGTGTATGTAGATCCAATTCTAATTGGAAAACAGTATCAACTGCACCGCATATGATACTGTATATAAGTTTTATCCAAATAAAAATATTAAAAAAAAATAGGTTGGTGGGACAAGTGTATGATAATATCTTACTCTAAGTGAGGCTCGTTCTTGGTGACCAAGTTGGAGGAGTTCAAGCACATCAGAACGTGCATGTCTAAGGCGAGCATGGCGCTGGTTCTTGAGAACAGCTATGCGTGAGGTGGCAAGGTTAACAGTTGCCTTGAACTTTGAAGCCTTGAAGGTTCTACCAAGGAGAGCATCAAGCTTCTTACCCATTTGCACGTACCTTAATTAGTTCTAAACGATAAAAGACCAAAACAACACACCAACACCAAGTGTGGTTGATGGCAATGTAAGGTACGAACTTATGGAACAAAGAAGCAGGCTCAAACTTTCATGAAATGAGATAGAGAGAGAGAGTGAGAGAGAATGGAGGTTTTATATGGTGATTTGAGAACATGGGCAAGTTGGCAAATTGACTAATATGTCCTCTGTAGAAGGATTTTTTGTTTCAATGTTTTTCCTTTTGGGGTGTTGTTGATTGCAAGAGTTTTCTTAGGAAAGAAGAGTCCAGCGGTGGGGGCACGAAGAGGAACCAAGTCTTCAACGCGGTTGGCGTGTGAACGTTTCAAGGAAGATGAAATGCGGCTTCTCAGTTGCCACCTTCTAGGAAAATTACATGAACGAAATAGTGGAAAGCGAACCCAAAAAATCATTGTTTTGTTGTGACCATTTGGTTAGATGCATAAGACGGAAATCCTATGGTCACACTCAGATCCTTTTCTTAGGTCAATTACTACATTTATTACTTTTTTATTTATTTATTGTATATATTTAAAATGACTTAAACATATTTTTGGTTTCCATGAAATAAGTGTCTTGATTTTAATCACACTACAACAAAATTTCTTTATTTTTCATTTCTCTAAAATTTGAGATCATTATTTTAAAATTTATAAGAAATGAACAAATTTTAATTTTAGTTCTAATAAAATACTTTTTTTTTAATTTTTATTTATGTAAAATTTAAAGTGATTATTTTTCTTAATGTTCCTATTTTAAGATAAATAAATAATATTATTTTTCCCCTCAAAAAAATAATATTATTATTTTGAAAATTTATAAAAATTTGTAGATACATGCATAATTATCAAAACCAAATCAAATCAGTCCTAAATTAATTTGGTTGGCCCATAAAACTATTTTGCAATAAACCAATAAAAAAAGTAATAGAACCCATTTAAAACTAGTCAGAGTTGAAAATTTTTTTCGGTCAAACTGGTTTAATTATGTCGAATTAAAAAGTATTTTTATCTAAAAATTTAATTTAAATAATTTAATAATACATTTAATAAAAATTAAAAATTAAAAAAATTATTTTTAATAGTTATCTTATAAATATAATTTAATCATTAATATTAATTTGTAACTTTTAATATTATTATCTCTAGTAACTTATATTATATTAATTTAACATTTTTTTATTTTGAATATAAACTTGTTATTATTAATAAATATTTTAAATATTATATTATACTTAATTTAAAATTTTACATATACATTAAATATTAAAAACTTATAAATAGCGTTTTATTTTGATTTTTAATGTTATAAAATTATGGTATTATATTTATTTAATATTATTTTTATATTTATTATCATTATTATTATATTAATACCAGTTTGATCATGATTTAATCATGGTTGAACCATTAAACCTTAAATCGGTGTTTAGACTAATTTAACAACTAGTCCAATTTTTAAAGCATTGCTAATACAATATCAATTACATATGTGAATGTTACTAGAGATGATCAATTGAAATTATAATAAATCCAAAAATAATTTTAAATGATTACATAATAGTGAAACTAAAAACAAAAATTTCAATTTCAGAGGATAAAAAAAAAAGTATAGGAACTAAAAATCAAAAGTAACTTATTTTACTAGACTAGAAATATTTAAGTTATTAAAAATTTATTAAATGATAATAAGCATTGTTATTAAAAATTAATATATATATATATATATATATATATATATAT